GGCATGCTGAGATTGATTGATGATAATTTGTGAAGTATGATATATTTATGCTTTTTGATAATTGAGATATGCCAAATGAGTGAAACCATGTTATCGATACGAGTGTTTGTCCATTTTTAAATAAAGAAAATGTTTTATGTGTAATATGTGATGTAATCACGGTGCCATAATGAGCGTGACTAAGTGCAATGAGCACAAGTGTGAATGAATTAAATTAAATGCTGGAAAAACTGATCATAATACGGGAGTCAGACTGGATGAATGAATATGATTGCAATATAGGTATTGTGATACAACCTACAGGAGTACTCATAATAAATGTATTATAACACATAAAGTTATGTGGATAAGGCTCGCATATTATGACATGTGCCCTGTAAAAAGGTGTGGAAAGGAATGAGAAATGTTGGTGCTGAGTTTAGATAGCTACAGAGATACACTAAAGGTATAGATTCTGGAGAAGATTTGAAAAATCTTGGGAAAATGAGGGTGGTGAATGCTAAGTGTGAATAAGTGCACAATAATTTGTTGAAAGTAAAATCATTCATAAGCCACATATTTATTTCCTAATAAGACTCCTAACTATACCTTTACTAGAAGGGGTTGGGTCGACACACGTGTATCCGTGTTGCTGCAGCTAACTGGCGGCTATCTAAACTGTGAAGTCCTCAAGGGATTCCAGGGGCATTGAATATGAAAGTGAAATAAATGTTAAAGTGCGATGTGTATAAATCGGTATAGAAATTATACAGTCATAATATATGCATTATAACATATCAGTTGATGTTGTTATGATATATGTGTCGCAATACATCGACGGGTGCAATTAAAACATATGTGTTGTGACATATTGATTTACGTGGTATAATACATGTATTATAACGTGCAGATTAGTAGAAAGATGCATGATCTGAAGTGGTGAACATAATTGATTGTTTGTCCTGTGTGTACTCCTTTGTGATGGCAACTTGAATGATTTGAGTGTTATTGCTAATTTAATCCATGTTAAGTAATATTCCTAGTACTGTATGTACATGTGAGTATTTGCTTATGTTAAACCAGAGATTTAGTGGGACGAAAAATACTCACCCTTACTAATATTTTCAGGTGATGAAAGTGAACAGATAAAGGTGTCGGGTCCGTCCTAGGATCATAATCCAAGGGTACTGGAAGGAAGACTGTTCTGTAGGGACTAAGACCATTTGAAAAATTGTGTTGTTTTATTTTAACTGTATTTCGTGATTAGTAAATTTGGCAATGATTTTAAATGTCAGATTTTAGAATTTATTATACTTGCGTCAATTTCATTGTAATGAATATTTTGAAGATGTTCTTAGTGGAAATTCTAAATTTATATGGATTCAAAATGAACTAAATGATTTGCTAGAAGTAAAGTTAAGTTTTATTTAAATTATTTCAAGGTTTTACCCTCGGAAGCTTTGACTCCTTTTTGGAATTTTATGAAACTTTTATAAGAAGGAAATATAAAATTCTATCTTTATTCTATTATTAAATCCATGACTAGAAATAAATTTATTTTCCATTCGCCATAAAAATTTGTTTATTTAAATAAAGAAAATGAAGGTGTTACATGGACACTCCTAACAGAATGGAGTTGCAGAACAAAAGAATAGATACCTTATGGAAGTGACTAGATCAATCATGTTAGCCTCAAATGTTCCAAAACAGTTTTGAGGAGAAGTTGTCCTTTCAGCAATTTACCTCATAAATAGAATGCATTCACGGGTCCTTGACTTCAAGACCCCTTCTCTACACTTCAAACCTTCTTCCCAACCAGCAAAATTTTCTCTTTGATTCCATTCAAAGTGTTTGGATGTTCAACTTTTATCCATAACCTCAACCCTCATCGTAGCAAATTGGACACAAAATCCATCAAATGCATCTTCCTCGATTACTCTACTCACCAAAAAGGGTACAGGTGTTACTCTCTTTATACCAAAATTTTTTATCACACCATGGACATAACCTTTCTTGAAAGTCTTGGTATTCAGGGGAAGCAACCATATTTAACTCAAAATTCAGAATAACAACCTTTGGTTCTTGAGCTAATTGAACTTGCACAAATCCTACCAAACCAAACCTCTATCACTCAACCAACAGCAGATGAAACCGTACCATACGCTCAACTAGTAGCTGAAACTATACTAGACCAGAACGGTGACTCACAAACAGCTAAACCTTTACCTAAACCAGCTAAAAGGACAACAAAAGTTGTTACAGAAATTGGAATAGAAACTAAACAAGGAGCAGGTAACTGAAAAGGTTTATAAAAAGATAAGGAGGAAGGATGTAGCGTGAAGCACAACTTCAATGCAAAACTATGAATCCCACCAGGCTTCAAGAAATGAAGTTCTCACAAGTAATTCTCTTCCTAACCCTGAACCTATTGATATAAGCACATCAGATACTTTTATTCCCATTGATAGGTCCTTTGTAGAGCCATTGACAGCATAAAACCTCCAAGAAATATTCAAGAAGCTCTACAAATCCCTGAATGGGCAGCAGCTGTGAAAGAAGAAATTCGAGCACTTGTAAAAAAAAATAGCACATGGGAAATAACCACTATTCTAGAAGGGAAGAGAGCAGTGGGATGCAAGTGAATATTCTTAATCAAATACAATGCTGATGGAAGTATAAAAAGATACAAAGCACGGTTAGTTGCAAAGGATTTTACACAATCATATGGAATAGATTATGAAGAGACATTTGCACCTATTGCCAAGCTTAATTCGGTTCGGGTCCTATTATATCTAGCAGTAAATCTAGATTGGCCTATACACCAACTAGAAATAAAAAATGCTTTCCTAAATGTGGAGTTAGAAGAGAAGGTATATATGCAAATACCTCTAGGATTTGAGTCATCCGGCACCCAAGACACGGTATGCAGGCTCCATAAGTCCTTATATTCTCAAGCAATCCCCAAAGGCGTGGTTTGACAGGCTAACTGTAACATCCTTGTTTTTTTTCAAAATAATAAGAAAATAATTCCATAGTTAGGAAAGAAAGATTTAAATTAAATCTATTTGTCAGCCAAATATAACATGTGGAATTATAAAAATAAATAACAAGGTAATAGAATTAAACTAATTAAAAGAAATGTGAAATAGCATTAATATACATTGTTCTCATAAGTTCACAAGGAGTTGACATTTGTAAAATATAACATTAAAATATTTTACGACTCATTTATGACATTTACAATATACAAAATATAATAAGTCCTAGTGAGCAGCCTATCACCCCAAGACTGAAACGACACTAGTGGTCCCCATGCCACCTATCTCTAACTATGCCTTGGTAGAGGTACATACACAAAATATGGTGGGTTCTATTGTTTACAGAGAAATCAAAAGATACACTATAGGATAATTCCATTTCTAGCATAATAATGTTACGAGGTACATTATTAACATGAAATGCCAACTTAAAATAACAAAATCTATGGTACTCGTTAAATACATAATTTAACATGCACTGTATAAAGCTATTTATAAGTCTAATGCTTTCTCTAGGTGTCATCGTAGTTTCCTGAAAGGTTATATAAGCCTCTATTCTCATTACCAATCATACATTCATAGTCACTTCAACAACACAACAAAAGTAAACACAACAAACCATCATGCCATAAGATCACATGCAAATAAAAGCAACACTCGTCAATTATTCAACTTATTACATTTTGTCTCTATTAACACTCAGAGTTCTCACTTTACACTTTCATTGCCTCTAGAATCCCTTGAGGTCTTCCTTAACATAGATAATTGCTGGATAGTCGCACTACATGGATACAACGTGTGCCGACTTGGCCCTTTTTAGCAAAAACATGGTCAAAAGTTTAAGTCAGGAAATAAGTGTGAGGCCTGTGGTGATCTTTCTCTCATTTGTTATGCGAAATTCAAGAAAAACATTTACCACCCTCATTTTCTCAAAATTTCTCAATCGTCTCTATCTTCTATACCCCCAATATACCTCTGAACTATTCATACTTGTCCTTATCTTATTCCTTCCTCATTTCACTTCTCTTTCCATATTTTCCATTTTATTTCTACATTTCTCATTATGGATTTGCTCTTCTTATTAGTCATTATGGCCTAAATTCATGATTTACTATAACCTGAACTCATTACCTGTATACTATCATATTATTCATCCTTTCATTTCTTTATTTTACTCAAGTTTATTACTACGTCATCAACATCATAAAACATGCTTCAAACATAACAAAAGAATATGTTTTCATCCAACATATACCCAAAATAATGCATTTCATCACAACATTTCTATGAATACAAACATACTACTTTCTTAGCAACAAGATAGACCTTTCCTTACCTTGAAATGGAAGTTTAGTGAAGGGTTTTTAAGTGATCTTGCTCAAAAGGTTGGGTTCTTCCTAAATATCATAAGAGATCCTATTTAGAGGAGGAAAAACAAGAAAATAATCAAAGAAATAGAAAACTAAGCTTCAAGAGCTTACTAAATAGCAAGGAAAGTGAACTTCCAAGCTTGGATTGAAGAAAGATTGAGTTTTTCAAGAATTTTTTGAAAAAATGAGGAGAGAAGTTGATAGAATGGAAAGGGTCGTAATTTGGATTATAATCCAAGTTTCTCAACTTAGAAACTCTTAAATACTCTTCAACTTGTGACATTCTCACTACAGCGAACCAATTCGCTGCAGCGAAAATATCAGATAAAATTTCACTTTGCTGTCTTTTATTCTAACTACAGCAAGAGCTCCTCGCTACAGCGAGAACATTCTTGCTACAGTGAGAGAGCATTAAAGAGCCTGATTTTGAATACTCATTTCTCGCTACAGTGAGAAATCTCGCAACTCATACATCTAAAACTCTCTTAATTTCAAGTAACAAGCATTAACCATTCACACAAAAGACAAAATTAATAAATAACAAAGTACGAGTGTTACACTAACAAAAGTTGTCAAACAAGATGGGTTTGTTCAATGCCAAACAGATCATACTATGTTTGCCAAGCACTCTGTGGACGGAAAGATAGCTTTATTCATTGTATATGTTGATGATATCATTATTACAGGTGACGATTATGATCAAATCAAGCACCTAAAGAGTCTCCTAGCCAAGGAATTTGAAGTCAAGGACCTAGGCCAGCTTAAGTATTTTCTAGGGATGAAAATTGCTCAAACAAAGAATGGTATTTCAATTTCTCAATGGAAGTACACTTTGGATTTACTTCAAGAAACAAGGGTACTTGAATGTAAAACAACCAATACTCCTATAGAACCAGCCAAAAGGAGTGAAAAGGACAGTGTACCAGCTAACAAAGATAGATATCAAAGTCTAGTTGGAAAGCTAATCTATCTAACTCATACTAGGCTAAACATCAGGTTTGTTGTGAGAATGGCTAGTCACTATAAGGCAAACCCAACAGAACCTGACATGAGAAATGTAAACAGAAACCTCCAATACCTTAAAGGTACACCAAGCTGAGGGCTTTATTTCTAGAAGAACTCAAACAGAGGTATTGAAGTCTATACTGACTCAGATTGGGCAGGATGTTTAGATGATAGAAAATCAACTTCAAGATATTGAACATGTATATGGGGCAACACGGTAACTTAGAGAAGCAAGAAACAACCAATGAATATATACGAGAATATAAGATCTAATCCGGGTATGATATACATCTACCACCCAGATTGAGGGGAGTGTTAAAGATCGGCACAAAATTAACAAATTTTCCTCATATTCTACCTTGTACAACTTATTAGAGATTTTGTGTAATAACTGTTAGCTGTAATTTTGCATTTGCCTTATTTAGAATTAGCTTTTATGGGGAGATCAATTTTCCTAATTTCTAGGCTAGATTAATGTCCCTAATTATGTCATGCTTATTTATATATATCTCCCGATGTATCATTCATAAATTCAAGAAAAAAAAAACTGTTTTCCACAAGTTCTACTCTTTACACATAAATTCACATATAATTTGAGAGAGAACAATAGAAAAATATAAGTTTAAACATATCTCAACTTCCAAACAAAGATCCATAATCATAATAACATGTCATTCATATATATAATCAATTCATCAACAAATTTGTCAGAGGTCGTACACCCTGAACTCAGCCCAAATTGTATATATATTATCAATACAACATATATTTCATATCAATAAAAAACAATCAAGTATACATTAGCTCACCCACTATTGAAAGAAATAACCATAGTCTCAACCACTCAAAGCAATAATTTCTTATCTCATATTTCTAAAATAAAAGAGAGTATATAGTCATACACATGAACAACATGTAGTTAAGATTCTAATGATGGGATAAAACTCTCCTTACCTCAATGAGATGATTTTATAAAGGGTTTTGCGGAAGAGATTGTCCAAAGACTAAATTCTTTCTATATATTACAAGGTAGAGCACTTTTGAGAAGGAGAAAACGTAACGTCTTATTTTTTTTTCTCAAATACATGATATTTTCATAAAAGAATCAAGAAAATAAAATGAATTCCTTTGAACATTCTTGTAAGTGAGAAAGAAGTGTGAAAATAATATAAACCATAGTGTAAAAATTTTATTGATTCATAAATACTATAGAAAATTAAGATTCTAAATTTTTTATCTACAACAAAAGAAATAGTAGTTTTACAACTGTTCCAAAAGAATGCTATAGAACTGAAAATATTCATTACATAACTCAAATAAGTCCTGTAGCAGTTCTCATCCATCCATGCATTGTGAGCTTGGTATTACTCATCCTGATTTCTTGAAAATGTTGTGTAAGGGTGAGTCTCTACCCTACTACTCATACATAATACATATTCATCATAACACACATCTTATTACAATTAAAGAAACATCATAGTATTGCATATCACAATGTCATATAAATCAAATTCTCATCTCAACACATAAATACATATTATATTCCATAGATTCACAATTTCTTTTTCTTTTATCTGTGCTTATTGCACCCTGTGGTCACAGTTATCCGATGTCTCTATCTCGAGGTCATACACATCTATGTAAATAGTCGCCAGATAGTCCAATGTTATACGGATACAACGCATGCAATAGACACCCCCTTAGCAAAGGTAATGGTCAGGAGTCAAGTCAGGAAACGAGTGTGCAGCCATATGGTGCATTCGTACACAATATTTCGTGTATAACCCCGAATGTTATTTACCACCCTACGTTTTCCTAAGATATCCCACATTGCCTCCATCTTCCACTCTCCAGTGTATCTTTATAACTATTTACATCATATTCATTTCCATCTTATACTCTTTTTGAGTATATTCACATGTTCACATATGTCATTTCTCATGTTCACACATTTTTCATTATATTTCCACATACCATTCATTATATACATCAAACCATGGCATATTCACAATACACATCATTTTTTACATGAACCACAATATATTCAAACATGAAGCATTCATCTCTTTGTATATTTCATAGCACAAAATCACAAAATCATATTAATCATCCTCAATATACCTTATCATGCACTATTTGAACAAAATAACACATTTTCACCATATATTCATCATAAAATCACATAAACAACCAATTATTCTCACTTTTAACCGGTTATTTTTCACAAAACAAGGATTATTCCATATATAATCACATATATGACAAGATCTATGAGAATACAAGTAATAAACATAATAAAATGATAAAGTAGAGCCTCCCTTACCTTAAGATAAGGATTTCTCAAAGATTTAACAGAAGATTTTAATCTAAAATCAAAGTTTATCCTAAAAACCATAAGATACCTATAAGAAATTTGAGATGAAGAGAAATGAATAATAAATCTAGATTCAAACTTAGAAAAACTTACTTTGAATCGCATAAAATGAACATACGATCCTAGATCTGAAGAAAAATCAAAGTTTAGGAGGCTTAGGATGAGAGAAAATGGTAGTATATGGCTTTGGGTCTCTCTAGAACCTTTGAGAAGTGTGAAGAATGAAGATTTCATGCAACGCCCCCTATTTATAGGCACAATCTCGAAAAAAAAAATTTAGTACTGTTCACACCAACTTACTATTTATCGCTGAAAACACTGTTTATTGCCAGAATTACTGTTCATGACTAACTTACTATTCACTTTTTTTTTTCAATTTCAAACTTCATCTAAATCTATTCTAATCACACTTAATATCACATAATTCTTTAATTAATATTTAAAAATACTGGATGTTACAAAAAACAGAGAAATATAGAAATGAGATTGAAGGATTGGGCTTGAAGGAACTTACTTAGGATCAAGAGGAAAGGAAGTCCAAGCTCAAATTCGGAAGTAGTTTGAGGTTTGGGAGAGGTTTATTTGAGAAAGGAAATGAGATAATAGAGAAAAATGTGTGTAAGAGGTTTTTTTGCCTTACAATACAAATTTTAGAATGACAATCCCTTAAATACTCTTTAAAACTTGTGAATTATCGCTAGAGAAAGAAAACAAAATAAAAATTGCTACTCTTTTGCTGATATTTTTCTTGCTTGAGTGAGGGTATTTTCGCTAGAGCAAGAAAACAAAAAAAAAATTGCTACTCTTTTGCTGATATTTTTCTTGCTTGAGTGAGGGTATTTTCGCTAGAGCGAAAACTAGACAAAAAGCTACCTATTTCAGTCACTAATTTTTGCTCAAGCAACAGATTTCTCGCTTAAATAAGAGTACAAACGAGAAAATTTGATATATTCTTGCTTGAGCTAAAAGGAATATTTTTTGTCAAAATTCTTTTTATTTTTTTAGAAACTCTTTTATTTTAAAAACAAAAAAAAATAAATAGAAATTAGGTTAAAAGCAATTGAATTGTGTGGAGAAGGAAGACTTACTTTATTGTGTTTCTTTGGACTTATATTTCTACTTTTCATCAGTTGAGATAATATAGAGGTTTCCCATTATCTATGAGATGGAAATACTTACTCTAATCATACTTAGTTTTACCTTGAACAAAAGGAATATAGACTCTTTTCTCATGATAATAAAAGTAGAAGATTAGAAAACTTTAAAATGTTGCATGTTGATTGATTCCAATTTTGTTCTAGTTTAACTTTTCATCATTACATTCAATACTAAAGTATTTTACTATTTGACCTCAGATAGTACTAACTCGTTAAATATTCCTATGAGAAAGATGAAGTGTAATATGTTATCTAAATCAATAATAGTGATTTAAGATATAACAATACAGATTATTTCAAAAATTTAAAATTTTATAAAACTAAAACCAAAATAAAAATTTAATCGGGACTAATTCTAAAAAAAATAATATTTTTTAGGAACTAATTACTTAGTTAAATTTTATCATGTTTGAAACTAGCATATTATGTGACTGGTATGAAGTGAAACATTATTTACTAAATCATCACTTGACGATCCTAAATATTAATATAAAAATATTTTTAAATATTTTTTATTATTTATTGTAATTTTTTATTTTTATTTTTTTGGTTAATTTTTTGTGGACTAACTCATTAATTCAATGACTCACTAACTTTTTTTTTTTTAATTTTTGCTGGACTGGTCCATTCGTCAGCCCACTCTTAAATGGACCGAGCTAAAAAAATTAGTACATTTTCTAAACATGGTGGGCTTAAGCTAGTCCATTTTAAGGCAGACTTTTGACAAAGCGGGTCAGGGTGGGCTCACTCATTTTGACATCCTAATATTTAGAAGTATTCCACTTTTGCTTTTTAGTTTCGCATTGAACATTGAAAGCATAAGAAGGAGTAGTTAAAAAGGTTAGAATAAGGTCCAAGGTTGAGATTAGAAAAAAGTCAAAAATTATATTATTTGGTGGAATTGTGACAAAAAAAGGGTCATGTTACCGATCAATCCAAAAGATGATGATGAATCTGCAAATGCAGAAATAAATGAATTTGTAGCTTGGATAATCTCATTGATTTATTGGTTAAGGACTCGTAATATTGAATACTACACCTTCTAAAGAATTGCTGTGTCTAAAAAGTTTGGAAAGGTACCTTGTAGATGATAGATCTCTTGATATTGTGGGAAAACGGTCAATTAATATTAAAACTTTTATAGTAGAATCTTGTGGAGATTGCACAATGTGAGACACATCTTTGCCCTAAAGATAAATTTGATTTTAATAGGCTAATTGGATGCTTTGAGACATCACACCACTTTTTAGAAATGGAGCTTAGAAGATATAGAAAGGAAACCTTGCAGTAGCTCGGGAAAAGGAGCAAGTGTCTCTTTATGTTGCAGCAACTCATCAAAACTCTTAAGGAAATGCTCATTCTTAATTTTCACCTTTCCTTGTCTAGGTTTGCCATAAGGTATTGATCACCCCGTTGAGGGCTATCATTGAGATATTCATTTAACAAAAAGGAATACACAGTCAAGAGAGAATCACCATCAATATTTGTGGTCGACTTCCGGAGATCCAGTATCATTTAGAAACAAAGCCAAATGGAAGAAGAGAAAATAAAAATAAGAAACATTAAGGTCAATAAAGAAGCTAAAGGAGACAGAAGATTAAAAGAGTAAAGGGGAAAAAGAAAAATAAAAAATGTTATTCAAGTTCAAATATTAAATGTTATACACACAGCTTTGATCACTGAATTAAGCAAAACCTTTGAATGGAGTGAAATCTGCGGCAATCTCCTTTAATTATTGAAGATTATTAGTATAAGAATGTTGTACGTGTTTAAAATTATTCTTTTTAAGTTACCTGACTAACGTTAAAAGTTATCAATGCAAGTATTTTTTATTTTTTTTCAAATAAACCAATGCTAGTCTTTAAACTCACTAAAGTGAGCATATTGACCATAAATATAAAGGTTTTCTTTACATGCATCACGGAGATATATTATTTGATTGATTCAAAGAGTTATCTTCAAGCATCCTAGAGCAAAAAAAAATTTTCTACTCGATATAACATTTGGTGCAGAGAAGCTCCTAGTGTTTGAACTGCAACAAATTCACCTACAACTGCAACAGCTTCTCAGTAATTGATAGCAACATGTTAGCCTCTCAAATCATTCCCATTAGGCGACGTGCCAAATCAGCATGCAATGCATGACCAGCCTGCATCAAGCACAAATCAAATGCATTAAAGATCATGGTCAATGCAGGTGCAGCCTCTTGAGCAATGGGCATAATTCAAATCTGGGTATAGGATTGTAGAACACATATAATAGCTTATTTTGCATCATGATCAACCAAAAGCCACTTCAAATATTTCCAGAGGGAGGGATTGGATAAATTAGGTTGCACAAGACACAACATCAGCAATTTTGACAATGAATGAATGAAAATTAAATTGACAAGTGAGAATATCTAATATTGGGAAGAAAAGAACCAAATTTACATGCCTTATAAGCTACAATGTGTGCCACGGGGAGTCCTTGATTCCCAAACTGAGCAAACAGCGAGAGATCACCAATAAGGTCCAAGATCTTGTGACGACATGGTTCATCACTGAAATGCAGAGGTGGATTCAACCAACCTTTACTGGCACTGCAGAAGAAAACATTACTAATTATACAAAGACAAAGAAGCACAATAGGCAATATGTGCATGATCAATGCATGACTTTCTCATGTATCCCCAGATCTAATAAAACTATCAACAAAGTTTGCAACTCTGCAAACACAATTTCATTTGGCCAACATTTTACTATACCAAAGTTTCATGTGTACTACTTAGAATCTACAGATTCTAAAGTTACAATATGTTAGATGTGTATGGTTGACTACAACCATGCCTTGAGTCAACTCATGAAACAATTGTGTATTTTTTCAAATTCCTACACCTTACATGATCATGATAATTTAATCATTCTTGCCGTGATTGTTGAAATTCAATCATTCTTGCCATGAGGATCAGGAGATAAATAGGTTATCATTGTTAGAAAAACTACGTATTGGTCCCATGCATTTGCATGGACAAAAGAATTATAATGAATATTAAATTATTAATAAAACAAATAAATAAAGCAAAAGAAATACAAAGGCAAGAATTGAGAGCATGACACTGCCAATTCTTATCAGTGTGTAATATGTAATATGTATTTGGTTGGGCGTGTATGGGTGAATTGCAGATTCCATGGGGTACAATGCCTTATTATTTTATGCAAAATTATTTATACACTAGAAATTTCATTCATTAATTTAAAACAAAACCTTTGAATTTTTAAATTTCTAGAAATCCAAGCATGCTTTAATATGCAGAAACATGTCTTCTAAAATTGCCAGGCACTTGGCTGTCATATATGATCTTAAGAAGGGGCTATATAGACTTGAAGGAGGAAAGAGAGGTATGGATGTAGAAATTCTAATTTGGGGTCCCTTTGGCCACTTAGGGTATAATTAGAACCTTTTATATGATTTGAAACCTGGGTTCATTTTGATTGTTTATAATAAATGGCAGTGTGATATTGTTTGCCGTTTTAAAGGCATGCTGTTAATTTTTGTTGAGAATAATGTAAATAAGGTAACTATGTAGATGGCGTAATCATATATAGCGATTCTAGATAACAGAATATCATGTAAAAATTATGTAATCATTGAACATTATTATAAATAGATAGCTCCACTGTGTATTACAGCGCACAGATGCATCCAATGTCTTCTCGTTTCTCTCTCTCAACATGGTATCTAGAGCCGGACAAGAGGACATTCCTAATTTGTCAGTCTGTCCATTCCTACTGTCCATTGGCATAATATTTTTTTTTTTTTTTTCAAAATCTGTTTTGGTTCACAGTTTCTGACAGTTTTTTCCTCATCAAGTACTGTTCTTGCCAGTGGTCACCGTTTTCTGGCAACCTTTCTGATCACTGGATCTGGTTCATCATTGCCTGCACCACCCAACGGCACCAGTCCCCATGTTCATCAGAGCTCCGATGCGCCTGCATCCGCCTCCACAAGCAGGCGTGGTTCTATTGTTCCGCTGTCACTGCCGCCATGCATGGTGATGCATCCAACCATTTTTCCAGCCGCCTTTAACGTTGATGAGATCGTCAGTGTGTGCTCTTCCTGGATCCATGGTCCATTTTCTCTTCATTGTTCACATTCTTGTTTGGTGTTCTCAACCCTGTCTCCTCTGCACTGCCCACGGCTACTACCGACCCTCCCAAGGCTGAACCAGCCATCTTTAACAACATTGCTTCTCTCTCTATTGAGAGATTGGATGGTAAAAATTATACCGCTAGGGCTACAAAAATATTCGTCTTTTGCTTGTTGGGTAAAATTACATGACCATCTAACAACGGAGGCCAACACTATTGCTGAGGCTGATCGCTCTCATTGAAGAAGATTGACACCCAACATTGATGCATTATTAAGGATAACCTTGTCTGGTACTTTTTTTTTTTTTTTTCCCACATAGGAATTGAACTTTTATGGATGATAATATTTTTTTTTTTAAACCAATATCAGAGATTTCAATTCGATACTTATACTAGTGTTGATCCATGAACTTAAAAAACTTAAAACTATAAATATAAAAAATATTTTTTATAAATTAATAATTTACATTTATAATCTTAAATATATTTATAAATTAATAATTTAAATTCATAATTGTAAATATAATTTAAAATTATAAATTATATTTATACATATATTTAAATTATATTATAATTAATAATTTAAAATTAAGTATAAATTATTAATCTTATATATGTATAAATTAATAATTTTAAATATTATAAATATATTTAAAAATTTAAATTATATTTAAATATAATTTAAAATTATTAATTTATATATATTTAAGATATAAATATAAATTATTAATTTAAAAAATATTTTCTATGTTTATAATTTTAAATTTTTAAAATTCATGTCACGTGTCAAGGTTTAAAGCAGTATCGCTCAAAGAATAAAAATATTCTCTCTGAGCATGCTACGTGTCATTAGCAGGATGAATATTGAACTAAAACCTACGATATTGGTTTAAAAAATAATAAAAAAATATTATCGTCCATAAAAGTCGGATACACTCTGACATAACAGAAAAAAGTACCAAATAGGAAATATTTTTTTATTAACCTTATTTTTCAAAATAGTTTTTAAAAATTATATTATTTAGATTAAAAAAAAAGCCAAAAAATTTATATTAATTTAAAAATTAATAATTAGTCAATTTTCTTCAACCTCTCTCTTCACCCTTTACAACTTAACAAAACCACCATCTCCATCCCCACAAACACCACCACCTTCCAACTTCACAAACCCCTTGCCCTCATGATATTTTTAGGTGGCTATTATCGGTATTTTCCCATAGTTCTTAACAGTAATGTACTTTGGAGGAAGTTGGGAGAATTGCTTAGGCAACATACTTTGGATTACTAGTCCCTAATCTAATCTTCATCGCTTGAATTTCAATCCAAATTGTTTCATTTCATTTAATCGGTTCATCCCATTTGAGTTTTAAGGTAACCAAATGCCTTTATCTAATTGAGATAATATTTTCTATAGTTTCGATGAAATGCTTTGCAATTGTGAATGAACTCAACTAATTAGTATTGTTATTTTTCTCTGTGGAAAGAATTTATCAAAAAGCACATCAATAAAGTTGCAATGGGAAGCTCCGAAGGACAAAGGCTTTCTGGATGCAAAAGCAGGTGCTTGGCTTATACGGGATTTCTACGTGCTGCATGTTATAGAGTCAATAGTATCACAAGAATATTGTGGTCACGGAGTTGGGGGTTTGAGAAGGAGAGGGATGTGAAGAAGAGGGTGTCAATGGATGGGTGTAAGAGTGTGTTTTCCAAGGATTTGTATTTGGGAACTTGATGGAGAAGCAGGGGATATTACTTGTGATATTGTTGATAATGCTGAGACTTGTATGTTTTATAGGAAGGGTATTGTGTTGGGAAAAAGATTATACATACCAAATGATCCCCTTATATTAAAAAGCTTTTTGTAGTGGCTGTTGTGTACAAGTGCCATTCTTTTCTCATGGGCTTCAAGAGAATTTGATACTTCAAGCGTATTATGGTGGAATAGATTTGGATTTTTCTAGTACAGAAATAACAATCACATTTTCAACAAAACTCATTACAGAATGCTAGCACCATAAACTTCTAATTTCATCAACAACCTAACCACTCAGGTATAGAAATCCCATACATTTTCATTCACACTCCAAAGGTTCTATAGCTTGATTAAAACAACTTTTCTAATACTTTAATCACATCTCACAGAATATCCTGTATTTCTTTGACCTTTTTAATACCAAGAAATCTTGGAAAGAGCCTTGTTCAAGCTTTGCTGCTTAGAAGACTAACAACTTTCTGTACAGGTTCTTTGTATTGTTTCAATTGATTCCCTTGCAATGAAATTGGTTCAGGTTGCTTTTGATACCATCATGTCCTTACCAGAGAGCTTCAGAATTGAGACAAGTCCTTTTTTGGCTACTTTGGGAAGTCTTGGTATTCACATCAGAAACAAGAAATTGACTTGGCAAGAAGTGAAGGTATTTGTAATGGATTATGAAAGGAGGATTAGAGAACAGGACTGCTGATAGAAAAGTCACAATTGATCTTGTTATTTGAAATTAAGGGATAAATATCTGACAATCTGTCTTGAAAAGGATTCATACAACTACAGCTTACAAGGAAGTTTCAGCTCCTCAAAAAAACACTAATCATGACAAAGCCATATAATTGCAAAACAATTGATGCCTTATTTTAAAGAAAGGGTGCCTTACATTAAGGACCTAGTGCCTAGATTTATATTTGTGGTCTATGTTTTAGGGAGTACGGACCTTGTATGCAGAATTATGCCTAGATCCTTGTTTGAAGTAAATAATTTCAAGAATGAACTTACATGAAATTTCTAACATATCACTACTGGTGCATAAACTTCTCTGCTCTAGTACCATAGGCTACCAAATTTGTTCAGTAGCTATCATATAGCTAAGCATCAATCACATTTATAATGCATGCTTGAAACAAAGTAATTACCTGCACACAATGGCATTTTCTAAAGAACCTCCTCGGATAAGTCCAGCATTGCGCATTTGCTCAACCTGCAAGGAATTTTAAAGCAGGGTATCCAGTGTTAGTTGAAGACTATCAAACATATACAAGTTCATAAAAGACAAGAAGAATGAACTTTTGTAAAGTGATTCACAATCACAGGTCATGAATGTTACAGGTAGTGCATATGGGATTCTAATATGTTTATGTGTAAATTGTGCCTATATTGACAAATAAGTGTATCATATTACATTCACCCAAGAATTAAGACAAAACCACCATGAAGTAAGCAACATTATTAACTTCTATACTAACAATGACAAAAAGAACAGCATTACATTCAGTACAAAGTTTAGTGAGTGTAACATTGTCTGAAGCAACGAGAGACACAGAGGCCTGTATAATATTTGTAACACCCAAACTTTCATCATTTCTATTTGATTAGAAATTCTATCAATTTAACTTAATTGGAATTAGACAATAGATGAAAATTTTGAAATTGAATAAACAATTAGTTAAATCGACCCAAAACTAAGCCTAATTAAGGAAGAATTAGGAGAGGCAATTGTAGTGTGATCTAATTAAGAGTAGAAACTATTTTTCTAAGTCACCTTAGTTGATTCTCAACTATCTAAAACAATGTATACAAAGACTATATTTAGTTGTGAGAAAACAAAAATAGGAATTTAAATACAAGTTACAAAATTGGCCAAAAACAAGCAAATAGCCCAAATTAGGCCTAGAATGTTGCCCCATTTTGTACAAGTTCATGACTAGACAAAAATCCAAAATTTATAACATTTAGCCTAGTAAAAGAGCATGTTGTATGTGCAAGAGTGAGCCCAAAAACCCAAAGGAAAAATTAACCAAAATTCTCACAAAACAGCCCCTAATTGAGGTGAAAATGGTCCAAATTAGTGGCAAAATTTTCAACAATCCAATCATTTCAATTCTAATCCATTTGCACAGCTGTATGAACTTGACAGAGAAGCCAAATTCCTATAATTGAAGCATGAAATCAGCTGAATTAGATGGGCCAATGAGAAGAGAGTTTGAATTTACTAAAACTCTAGGCTATGATGTAAGAAAGTGGACTTAGTCAAGACTTTATCACTTGCCAACTTGCCTAGTTAAGCCAAGACTAAAACCCTCCCAAACCAACCAATAATTGGAGCTAATGTGAGTAAGGGAAACCAGACTTGATTAACCACAAATTAGGAACAAACCAAAGCAAGTGCAAGAACCTAACTATATGACATCATGGTTGGAAAAATATCAAAGCATGCATGGACTTTGGAGGCTATTTTTCTTGTGGAAGGAATGCTTGTGGAGGGCTAACTTCCAGCTCAAAAACACTTGGCACACACATCACACTATATAGTCAAGCCATCCAGGACATTTCAGCCAAGACAAAAATTTTAAAATCCTATGCAAAGTATAGTGCCATTTCACATGAAAGAGAGAACAAAGTGAGGACACTAGACATAACCTTCCAAATTCAGCAAAAAATCCAACTTCCATACCCACTTGAAAACAACTATCACTCAACATATTAACCCCACACAATCAATTCAGGTCATATTTCCCAACCAAACTCATGGAAAAATTCAAGAAAAACATAAACAAACACTGTGTTACCCCACCCAAAAATTAAGCAGAAACTCCAAACTTTTAGGAACCCATATTGCGCATGTAGAGGCTGACCTAAGGAGCAAGGAGGAAGGTTCCAAGTAGATCAAAGAATATGAGAGAAGAGAGGGAACATCCACTCAAGAGCATCACAACAAAAAGCAAGTTAAACCGCGTAAGTGGGGAGTATTGATTCATAAATTAAGGAAATATCATGCTAAATGAATTTTGTGTCAAGGGGTGTATTGATTCATACATTGTGTGCTTTAGGATTTCCCCCTAGACCTTTTATTTTCTCTGGTATTATATTTAAAGAATTAGGAGAACTTAGAGAGGTCGATAAAATATTCTACACACTGATATTATGCCTTTTTGTATAATATTTGTATGTTTGTATGTAAGAGAAATTTGAGGAATTAGATGCAGTTAACTTTGATATGCAACACAACATTCTAAACTAGGAAATCAACCTAGAAGGATTTTGAAAATGGAGATGAAACTATTATTGAGGTAAGTAAAAGGGATATCTCAATATTGACTTTTAACTCCAAATCTCAAGCTTCCAGCCTTGTAAACTTGTCTCAACCTATTATCCACATCTCTAACAATACCATAACAGCTTTTGGCATTTCCCAAAAGCTTATCAAAATTGTCAAGAGCTAGATTCCTAAGTGGCATCATGAAAGGACAATATATTAGTAAATACACAATCCCTTCGTACTTTTTACATAAATAGCATAGGCAGGCAAAAGTTCTATTTAGCTGGTAAAATTTATGCTTACCTATCATATCCATGCCACCTATCCCCATGATGTTATGACTTTCTCCCTCCACTTGTAAAGCTTAGATACATAGTACGACACGGATACAAGAGATTCTTGAAAACTCAAGATACTATATGGCCTAGATACATCAGCATTGGTTCAAGTTTTTACTATTGTGGTAAAATGTATAGAAAAATAAAGTAAAAGCTTCAACAAATTATCATAGTTGTAGTAAGATGTCCAAATAAAAGAGGAGGAAGATAATTCAATGGTGGGAAGATTAAGAAGTCTAGAACAGAAGCACTTGAAAGTCAAAACAAAACCAACATGCAAGGCTTATTCAGTTATACAGTTGTGCAAAAGCTGAAAGTTTGAAACACATTGTTTCAATATCAAATAAGCTAAGAGTATTGTATCTGGTAATCCAAGTTGTATCTGATATTTTAAGTCGTATCCTAGCTGTATCCCAGCAGTATCTCAACTGTATCAGATCACCAATTATTTTTAAGAAATTAAAAAAATGGGATACTTTTTAGATACATATCCAGACATGTCATACGCATATCAGCATAGGATGTGTTCGATATGGATACTTTGGAAAATTTGGAGTATTCAAGCTTCATAGCCACTAACTGAATTTTCCACCTCTTGCCCCTTCCTGTTAATTCTCATTTCCCATTATAAACCAGCAGGGTTTTGCTATTGGGTCCATCATGCTTTTTTCTCTTCCTATACACGTGCTAATGGCCTATCAGTTTTCCACCATATAATACAGTATAGGATAACAGAAACAAACCATAACTAGACTGTGAATGGAAGAACTTCAGAACTAACCTCTTCATAAATGCAGAAGGTTCTGGACAAAGCTATCTGCATGGAATAAGCCAAATTATCCAAAGGGGCTGTAGAAAACCACTGGCAGCCAATAGCAGGTGCCTACAAAAGGAAGGTGTATTTGTTCATTATTTAATGCCAAACCTACAAAGAGTTAATATTTCAGCAGTTGTGACCTTACTATATCAAAATTATTGGGATGCACAAAATTTAGCATTCTTGTACTCTAGTATTCTTTGAGAACAAAATGCAAATATCAACAGTACAAAAGACAAAGTGATAAGTCTACATTTTGGGGTGTTTTTATAGCTTATTTTCATATACTTAGCCCTTACTTGATGGAGATTTAGCACTAATTTCTTTGTTTATTATTGCAATTTAGCATGAATCGATTATCAATAAATTGTGGATACACTTTGGACACAATTGGAAGAAATTTTGATGGAAAGCAGGGCCAACCAGGCGAAGCAGCTCAGCAATCTACGTGTCCTGCTGCCACATGCACGGCCATGCTTATGAACAGAAACCTAGGAAATGATAATCCCCACAAAAATGTGCACTTTGGCTGCTTCTTCTTGGTGCTTTCGATTTATGTATACAACATACAAGGTAGAAGGGAAAGAAATGCAGGAACGTAGTACATCCAATGACAAAAACAAGGAAAAAAAAAAGATGTATATTTCCTCCACCAGGAAGAATAAGTAATCTCTTTTGAAAAATAGGTAAATTATATTCTTTCATCCTTAATAAATTAGTTAATACATGAAGATCTCAAGAGTAAAACAGAAAGAAAAAGACAAAAAATTCATTTGTAAATGCCTAATTCAACCAAATGCACCTGGCTCCAACCAATTTCTGTAACATGTACAATTATATGCAATAATTCTGACTTTATATTCAAATCAGGATATCGTTCTCATAATGAGAAACAGATTAACAAGGGTAATGCTCAAATCCATTTGTTTCATTACAAGTTATCTACTATGGAGGATGGTGTACTGAAGAAAACAGAAAGTACATAGGAATCTCTAAATGGCATATGCTGCAAGAAACTTTGATGAATGATATTCTCAACTCCACATATCATCCTATCTTTACCTGTGGAAAGTTGATGCCATAAGTTATCTGAACCCCATCTGCAGGAAATGCAGCAACAAAAGAATCATTTCTTGAAACATACACTGGTTCATTCACATGTGGTGCCATTTTCTCAACACTATTCCCATAAAGATCAGCTGCCACCTTTAAACCAACTTCTTCTACTGCTGCCACCCATTCCCTTGCTGATCCATCAAATATAGGAATCTGTATGAGAAATGAAAGAAAGTAATATTTTTCTAATACAAACTATATAGTACAAGAACGAAACACAGGTTGGAGGGAGGGAGGGAGGATGGGAAGATAAATTATTTACAATATTTCGCTCAAAATACTATCTCTGTTTTGACGAAGTAGAGCCAAAAAGAAGATCCTCAAAAAAAACAAAAATAAAGCACTATATTATTCTCATACGTGAAATTCATTTCACAACAGTTGTCTGAGAACCGGTACAGTTAGCAAGCTTCCAGTTAAACAAAGTACGTGACCAAATATTTTCTGATCAGCTGATTGAAATTGCAGTAGTTTATTGTGTTTGCCAACTATTAGTATGGGTACACAATTGGTGATAAAAGTCGTTCAAACTTCAGAACTGGTAATGGAATTGTAGTCCAATCCAAATATTACAGAATCAAAAGTTCACTTCACTTAATTATTAAAAAAAAAAGGTTGACTTCACTTGCTCGTAGGTAGCATCGTTTTATAACACCTTTTACATGAAGAATATATCAAAAACGATCAAGGAAAATGTAAACTTCAGTCTAAGGCTTAAATTTAAGCAACTAATAACAGTAAGATTTTATTAAAAAGATAAGTATTTATTGTACTTGTATAACTTTAATACAATGAATTTATTATTTTCCAATAAAAAATTTCTACTTCTAAATGCTTAAACTCAATCCTAAGAGTTGAGGTTAACAAAAGCCAAATATCAATGAACTACAGATTTGGATCCCGTAAATGTATAAAATGGGAAAGTAAAAGCACATCTATCGTTGATTTGAATTGAAGTACCTCCCAAATCCCATTAATAAAAGCAAATTAAAAATTCTTGCAAGTATTGACCAAAAGCAAATTCTCAATCAACATTTAACATTCGTACCTCGGCTTCATGCCCTTGACTTTGAGCATCCAAATTGTGCAGCTCGATTCGGCAATTATCGACACCAGTGGCCTCCAACGCAGAGAGCAAGTGCTCCACGGTTCGAATTCGGAAGCCGCCTTTGCACAGAGTGGTGCAGAGAGGCGAAACCTCTGCGAAATCAACAGAGGCGGGAAAGTCATTGGAGCAAAAATCGAAGAACCTGCCTCGGCCAGCGCGTGCAGGGCACAGTCTTACCGTCGAAACATTTCCCGAATGCAAAGCCACGCCGCTCCGCTCCACGCAACCCGCTAGGGTTTGCTGAAGCCTCCCGGTCTGCACAAACACATCAAATTCAAAGAGCTTAGTGTAAGTGTAACCCAACGTACGTTTAAAGGAGTTGAATTTTCTACGGAACCACAGAGTGGATAGTTGATAAAAAAAAGAATGAGAGAGAGTCTGAACGGGTTTCCATGAGACGAGTTTCGACGATCTGAGAGCGCTGAACGCAGACATTGTAACCGGGTGGCGAAAATCCCGTCCGTTACGGAAAGTCTGAGAGAATGTTTAATTAATTTAAATCAAATTGATTTCGAGCAATCTATTTTAAAATCTTTACCCCAACGACACCCGCACGGCTGATTGACCAGAGAGTTTTGAAAAGATATTTTCAAAATAGACAATTAGAAGACTGAGAGCATTGTTTTTTTTATATATATATTACATTTTACTTTTAAAAATCAAAATTGTTTTTTTAAATTAAACATACTCTAAATATTAAAATAGCAAATTTGGAGAGAAAAAAATTAAAAAAAAGAGGCTAGTCTCATAGTCTAGTGTGCTGAGCACGATGAAGGAGCAGCATGCAGCTAGAGACGCACTTCAAATATTGGCCAAATTTTTTTTGGAGCCACGTGGCGCAGGCATGTAATGTTGAACAACACTTTCCCTTACTCAGCACATTTTAATAGATAAGTCTCTTCTATGTAAAAATTTAAAAACATAAGTTTAGTTTATTATATTTTTTATTAATAATTTTTAATATTATTAATTTATCTTGAGAATATGTTTTATTAAATGATAAAATATATGTGTCAATATTTTGATGATAATATAAATTTTATTTTTTTAGAGGTGAATTTGTTTTCAAAAAAATTATATAAAAATTAAATATTAAAACTTATTTAAAATTAAACATTATTATAATTTAATAGCTAAAATAAAATAAATATTATTTATTATAAAAATAAAATTATATTAAATTAGGTAGATATATATAAAAAACAGATAATAGCGTTAGTAGCGTATAGTATTTTTTTTTTATAATAAAAGTAAACTGAAACTTTTATACTACAAAATAAATAAATAAATATGATAAAAATAAATTTAGTATAATATAAATTAATATCAAATTATATTTAAAATAATTTTAAATTAAAAATTAATATAGTTAAATAGTAATTTTAAAAATAAATTAATATTATGAAATTTGTTTTAATTTATTATAATTTGTTATATATATATTTTACATATATGAGTAGTACTAAAATATGAGAAATATTGAAAAAGATGATAAAACTTAAGAAATTGATATGAATTTTTGTATAGATAATCCAAAACTCTTGCAATGTTGTTGAAGATTGATACTGTAACACCTTAAATTTACTTAATTTTTGCAGAAATGAGAATAATAAAATTTTCATTCAAATAATTTTTAATACACAGTTTCATCAAAGTGTTTCAAAATAAAAAGAGTTTACAAATTTATATCAAATAACTGCTACAGGACTAATTCAATTATATCATATTTTTAAAATAAACAGTTTATGCCCTATAGCAGTATCAAATGCATAAACAGTTCATATATCTCCATAACTATAGTTACATTCAAATCATTACACAATTAAATGCATATTCAAATATCGATTTATACATTTATATTAATATATTAAAGTATTATTACAAAATCTAGGACGTTACAACTCTTCTCTCCTTTAAGGAATTTTGTTCCTGAAATTTAACCCAACTAAACAAATAACTTCAGGTACAACTCTTTTATTTTAATATCTGTTTTTCATGTGACATCTCTCTTATCACTTTAGCTCGAAATCACCTTCACCAATGAGATCTCTATGCCCTCAACTACTTAACACGGTGATCCGCAATCCTCACCGAATACATATCATAAGACAAGTCCTCTCCCACTTAAATCTGGTCAAGCTCAATCACGTGAAAGGGATCTGACACATACTTCCTGAGTTGCGACACATGGAATATTGGATGCAGATTCGAGAGATTTGGAGGCAATGATATCCGATATGTTGCAGGACCAATTCTACTCAGTACTTCGAATGGCCCAATGAACTTAGGAGATTGCTTCTGAGATTTTAGAACTCTCCCAACTCCGATTACAGGTGAGACATTTAAAAGCACATAGTCATCCACCTGGAACTCTAAAGGCTTTCTCCTCTTATCATAGTAACTTTTCTGTCGATCTTGGGCAGCCTTCATCTTTTCTTTGATCATTTTGATCTGCTCATTCTGCTTTTGGATCATATCCGACATATATAGAGCCGTCTTTCCAGTTTTATACCAACATTATGGAGTTCTGCACCTCCGCCCATGCAAAGCCTTGAACGGTGTCATCCCAATGTTGGCGTGATAATTGTTATTGTACGTGAGCTCCACTAGCGGCAGACATTCTTCCCAAGTTCCCTACTGCTCAAGCACACAAGCTCTCAACAAGTCTTCCAGGGACTGGATAGTTCTCTCGATCAGACCGTCGGTATGTGGGTGATAAACCAAACTAAGTCACAACTTAGTGCCTAACGCCCTTTGCAGGCTCTCCCAAAACTTTGAGGTAAACCTTGGGTCTCTATCGGATACCACACTCGTCGACACTCCATGAAACTTGACTATCTCCTTCACATACAAACCTGCCAACCTCTCTAACTTATACTTCATATTGATCGAGAGAAAGTGTGCAGCCTTGGTCAACCGATCTACAATCACCCAAATAGCATCATGGTTATTCCTGATCCTCGGCAACTTGGACATGAAGTCTATAGAAATATTGTCCCATTTTCACTTAGGGATCTCCAACGGTTGCAATAGCCCAAGTGGACGCTGGTGCTTGAATTTTGCCATCTGACAAGTTAAGCATCTAGCCACATATTCAGCCACATCTCTCTTCACCCCATTCCACCAAAAGCTCTTTCAGAGGTTCTGATACATTTTAGTTGCACCGAGGTGGAAACTAATTCTACTCTAATGCGCTTCCTCAAGTATCATTTGCTTCAACTCTTCCACTTGAGAAATGCACACTCGATTCCTAAACTTGATCACCTCGTTCTCATCACTATGGAACTCCAACTCTTTCCCTTCACTCTTCTGCCTCATCATGTCTTGCAGGAAGACATCTCCTTGCTGAGCATCTCGAACCTCGCTCCAAGATATAAACTCTCTGGCCTTAACTTCATGGCCAAGTTCATGTCCTGAAATTCCTCAATCAACTTCATCTCTTTCACCATCATTGCTATCACGTGCAATGATTTCTGGCTCAACGCGCTGACTACCACATTTGCCTTGCCAGGATGGTAAGACAATGTTAAGTCATAATCTTTGAGGAATTCCATCCACCTCTTCTGCCGCATTTTCAGCTCCCTCTGATCAAATATGTACTTCAAACTCGTGTGGTCACTGACCACCTCAAACCTCGCTCCACACAGGTAGTGCCTCCATACCTTAAGGGCAAAAACCACCGCGGCTAACTCTAAGTTGTGAGTTAGATAGTTGACTTCATGAGGACGTAACTGCCTTGAGACATAGGCAACTACTCGCCCATCTTGCATCAGAATACACCCAAGTCCCTACCCAGACGCGTCACAGTACATGTCAAACTTTCACTCTGGGTCAGGCAGAACTAACACAATTGCTGAAGTCAACTTTATTTTTAGCTCCAAGAAATTAGTTTCACACCCTTTGGTCCATTTTAAACTCCTTTCGCTTATGGGTCAGCTTCGTTAAAGGTAAAGTCATCTTAGAAAATCCTTCAATGAACTTTTTGTAATAATCTACTAGTCCCAAAAAACTACGGACTTCCGTCACATTTGTCGACCTCGGCCAACCAACTACTGCTTCCACCTTTGCAGGATCCACCATGATTCCTTCCTTCGACACTACATGTCCCAGAAATTGAATCTCTGACAACCAAAACTCACACTTAGAAAATTTCGCATACAATTGCCTCTCCTTCAGAATTCGCAAAACAATCATCAAGTGTTCGACATGCTCCTCCCGAGTCTTTGAATAAATCAGAATGTCATCGATGAATACCACTACAAACTTATCCAAAAACTCATGGAAGATTCTATTCATATAGCCTATGAACATCGCCGGTGCATTGGTCACCCCAAACGGCATCACCAAATACTCATAGTGACCGTACCGCTGATGAATCCACATTTTATTGAATTTTTACTTGTCATTTTGAAGGTTCTTAATAGAAAAAGTAAACTTAGGAAGTGTAAATAACATAAAACATCATTTTGGTCAAATATCATAGGTTTCTTAATTCTTGGTTATTTTATATTGATTAACATAGATATAGTTTACAATTTTGATCATTTGAATAATTGTGCAGGAATTTCTAGATTTTTTCTATGGATTTTCAGCATTTGAGAAAGTTTGATATGAAAGTGATTACTTTGGATCCTATAGTGAATACTACAGCAAGCTAAATCTAGAAGGACTAACTAAAGTGATCACTATGAACCCATAGTAACAACTACAGAGACCCATTTTGAAGAAGTGTTGTGCGTGCTTACTTTTGATCCATAGTAGACACTCTGGAGTAGCCAAAGTTATCACTTTGATACCAAAGTGATAACTCCAGAGAGGCCCAAAAACACTACATTTGTGTGTGGTTACTATAGGGCGAGAGTAACTACTATGGAGCACTGCGCATTATCACTATGATACCAAAGTGATAACTCCAGAGAGACCCAAATCACAGGACTTGCGCGTGGCTATTACGGAGCGATAGTAACTACTATGGAGCGCTGCGCGTTATCACTATGAAACCATAATAGTTACTATGGGCGAAAATTTCTGCACTATAAATAAAATTTGAAAATTGAATTAATGGTTGAATGAGGGGGACATTGCTTAATTAAACCTAATTCATTTTAATGAAATTCTTAACTTAGTTTGCTTAATCCTAAGTTAATTTCTAAGGTTGCATAATCTTGGGGAAAAGAGTTGGAGCCCATGTAAATTGCTTAATTCGTATGGGACTTTAAGGTTAATTCTTACTTTTTGAGTTACCCTAATTTAGAGGAAGAGGAAAAGTATTGAATCTTGAAAGGGATAGGGATAGAATTACATGAACAAACTAAGGATTGCACATTTCATTGACTGGACTCATTAATTTCATAATTTGCCTTTACATTAAAATTGGAATCACACAAAACCCTCTTGTTTTAATTACTTTTATAGTGAATGTTTACAATATGTTCAATGTATGTTACAAACCAAAGTCATTGGAGACAATCTAGGCTTGCATCCTAGA